CTGTATTACAGAGATGCAGAGATGGCCCCAGACCAAATGGATGAGCCAAGTGCTTACTGCTGTGCCTGCTCTCCAGCTTGGGAGCTGCAGCTCTCTGGGAGCTGTGAAACCCCTCTCAGCAGGACTCGCCTCTGCTATGAATTCTGGCAGATTGTGTGAACTGGAAAATGCAGCCTCTTTGCACAGTCACTAATGAAGTGTCTGAGCAGCCTGGTCTCATGTCAGGCGGGGTCGTGCTGATGCCAGTGCTTGGGACTAAAAAATGGCACAGTTGGCTCAGGGGATGCACTGGTCTTTTAAGACAAAACAAACTTCTGAGCAGTGAACCTTTGCCAGGCAGTAAATATCTGCTGGACAAACGGGTCAGCCCACAGGGCAGTCAGAACCGYCAGTGCTTGGGCAAAGCACCGTCAATCACTTGCCCTCACTCCAAGGACTTCATCTGCTCATGTCATTGGCCAGGTCTGGAGTCCCACTGCTCCAGCAGCACCCACTGCACCTCCAGCACCATGGGATAGGGGGGAGCAGACAGTCATAGTGGAGAGAAATTAGACTAAATTAGTACGAATTAACTGTGATGAGACATTTTTTTCCCAGGTAAATGTGGAACACTGAGGAAATGAAGCATTTCTCCATCCTCTACCACTGCACTGGGCACGGAGAGGTTTCTGACTCAGGGACAGCATCCAGCGCTCCAGTTTTACATGTCATGAGAATGTAAAGATTCCATGAAAATGGTGAATTTGTCAAAGGACTTGCTCTCAGCTGCTTATTCTACTCAGAAAAAATCCCTCAAGAGATAAGTGAGGTCACCCCTATGACCTGCCTATTCCCCACTCTTTCATTTAACTGCAACTTACCCTACAGGTGCTTTCTCAGACCRAGACAAAAACCCTGCCATTAACTTTCCCTTGTTGAACTAGGGCTGAAACCCAGCCAGGTCCACCTGCTCACCACTGCTGGGTGCTGTACAGGGTTCCTGGAGAGGGATGGATGTCAGTCCCTGGGGTGGGACACTCGAGCACCTGCTGCCCTGCCAGGGCCGAGCTGGCAGTGACCACAGTGCTGGGAGAGCYAACAGGATGATGCTGCTCCCCTGCCAGGACTGCCAGGTGCATTTATGGCTTCCCAGYTTCTTCTCTTCCCAGGAAGTGTCCCCTTGTGCCACTGCCATCCTTTGCTTCATCTCTGCTAGCGAGGGGCTCCCAGCCTGGTGGCTTTGCAGTACCTGGTGGCTCTACCACACCTTCTGCTCGGGTGCCTTAGTTGCAGCACCAGCCCTTGCCACAGGCTGGCCCCACAACCTCTCCAAAAAGTTTTGAAGGATGCTTACGCTATTAATTGGATGTATTTATAACTGTTTATCTCTGTCAGTTGGGTGGGAAATCGCCAGATGAATCGTTTGCATTCCTTACACAGACATGTCCCGCATCATCTGGATGGGTGTGCTAAACGGTGTCACTGCCAGGGAAAACCTCACTGCTCCTTCAGGATGTGGGTGTTTGTGGGAGAGCGACAGCCTGGAGGCAAGTGTATGTATGAGACAGATCCCTGACCCACACTGCTCTGGATTTAGCCTTGTGGGAGGTGAAAGGGGCAGGGGATCTCCTCACTGGAGTCCAAGCAGCCAGGGCTGCCGTGGTCAGGCACTGCAGTGGTGGAGAGCAGTGCTCTGCCCCTTGTGTGGCTCACACTCGTGGAGCTGACACCCACACGTGTCACCCACCACTGCTTTGGAGACAACAGCAAAACTCCCAGTGAGCCATTTGCCTGCTCTGAGGGGGGYTCAAGAACACGAGGGGGTCCCTGCTGGGGATGCCCCACAAACAGGAGAAGCAGCTCAGARCCAGCAAATATCCCTTCCAACAGAGAACAAGGCAGAAGGAAAAGAATGGCTTAAAAACAAAGAAATTGCCTGCAAATAAAATGTTTTTCCTCGTTTCCCATGATACAGTAAAATTTCTTCATGGGCAGATAGTCAGAGTAGAGTCCATTACACTCCACACTTTTTGCCTTGAAACATAAATAGCTGCATCTCACATAAGTGTTTGTTATGAGGAAAAGCGTATGCCTAGAAAAGTTAGACATTAAACCATTACTTCATGCAGAAAGATATGCTAAAGGGAGAGGATTATTTACTATATTAATGCTGTCTTCCAGCTACCCGTACGTCTCTCTGCACATAATGACTTCAGTCACAAATGAGGTGTTGTAACAAATCCAGTTCCCTTCATTCTCATTTCCTTGGAGACTGTGCACACAGTGACCCTCCCTCTGGGCCCTATAGGGGCAATGGGACCACAGGGCTGAGAGCAGAAATCTGTTAATCTGTAGGTAAATCTGGCAGCCTCTGTCCTTGCACAGGGTGCACATGGGCAAGTGCTGATACCTGATATTAGCCCTTATATTACAACTAAAAATTTCAAAATATCCCTGTTGGTGGCATAAAGTAATAGTGATGTGACCCTCAAATATTCCTTCCTCCTCCAGAAGTTAAAAGAGCATCTTAAAAGGCATCAAAAATTTTCTCATCATATGTTGTTTTCCCAGTAAGTGACTCATAGAGGAAAGAAAAACAAAAACAAAAACTAAAAAACAAAACAAACAAACAAACAAACAAACAAACAAACAAAAAACCCAAGCACAGGGACCGAGGAAAGCTGGGATGTAAAAGACCAGGTAGATGTGATGCTTGGGGATACAGGTYAGTGGTGGCCTTGGCAGTGCTGGGGGAATGGCTRGACTTAATGGTCTTGGAGACCTTTTCCAACCTAAACAATTCCATGACTCTATGATGCTATGTAATAATTCATCCTTATTCAAAGGGCTCTGTTTGAAATCTGGCATCAGCAATACAGAACATGTTGCATCTTCGCTGGTACCTCTTCAATCTGGTTTGCGAGATATCCTGGAGGACGTGACCTTGGAGGCAGGCAGCATATCGAACCTGCATAATCTGAGCATCTCTGCATCAGTGGCAGCCTGTTGGGTACAGGGCAGTTAATAAATAATGAGGATGTCAAAGATGACAGCAGGAAAGCGGGAGCAGGTAGCAGCTTTGCAGGCAGCTCTCTGACAGCCACTTGACAAGCTCCAATTACGGGGAGAACGCYGGCGCTCATCCTGCTGCAGTGTCCGGCAATGGGGAGTCAGGATGCGGCACAGGGCAGCCTGCAGCACCGCACTGCCCGGACAGCTCCCGGGGAGCGGGGAGAAGGCGGTTTGAGCAGCAAAGAGCGTGCTCGGGCCGCAAATCGCACAACGGAGCGGGAGGCACCCGGCGGCAGCAGCGCAGAGACGCGGGGCAGCGGCTGCCGCAGGAACCGCGCTCCGGGATGGGGTGTGCCAAGGGGGTTAACCCTGCTCGGAGCGGGGATGGACGCGTGGCAAAAGACATCTGAATCGGCTGAATATGCGATTTGCTTTTCCGGGCTTTGCGGGAAAAGAGGATGCGGCTCCCATGCTGTGCCGAGGCACGGGGCAGCTCTCAGGACACCGGGTCCTGTTCACAGGTTGTTCCCTCAAGGGTTGAATTACATCACACCGCAACTCCACGAAAATTAGGARCCTGAGGTGTAATTGATCTGATGGCTTTTTAAACAGCTGCTTTCCAAACAGCAGAATCTACACCAAAATGATCTTGATTTGAATAAGTATTCCATCCTTGTTTGGTAAATATACCCACTGTTAATGGTGCTTAATGGTGCCTGTAATTGGTGTCTAAAGTTATTTAAAAGTAAATTTACTAGAAAATAATTAGCAATTTTATAGTTCACTACTTCCTAATTTTGTCGATAAAAGTTTTTCTGTGGTTTTTATCAGATTACACAATAGGACCATGCTGTGAAATAACCTTTTTCCAAACAAGCAGGAAATTGTGCACACAACRTAAGATAAAAAAATTTTCCTCCTAATTTCTTTGCCTGGCAGCCAGCCCTCTCCAAGCCCTTTCTTTTTATTGGCCACTGATTTATCCTTAATCAGCAGCAAGTGAAATTTCCCAGGCATTGCTCAGGGATTTGTTCTTTGTGACCTTGGGAGGTGCACCCCAAATAGAGACATCAGTGAGGAAAGCTCTCCCCCACCCCAGGACCTGCAGGCTGGCMCAGGTGGTCCTGGTCCTKGTCCCCATCCTGTCCTGGTGCAGCRTGTGYTTTCTCTGGCCCTTTTGGCAGTGGGGGCCATGGCCTGTGGGGCAGGTCACAGYGGCCAGCTGGGCTAGCAGGTGGCAGGTCATGGCCAGCGTTGTCCTGTCATGGCTCCTGCTCGTGGGGTGCTGGTGCTGCTGGGGGGGCAAAGAGAAATGGAGGCRAGAAATACAGCTGCTACAAGGATTTATTGTTTAGTGCTGTGGGTTTCAGGGTTCAGTTCAGGACAGTCACATCGTTCAGGTACAGAGACACCGACGGACAGAGACGCATTTGGGAGGCAGTGACAGAACAGCAGGTTGGGTTCAGAACAGACCGACTCTCCATTTCCAGTCTCTGAACCAGAAAGTACCAGCTTTTCCAGAACAATGAATCACTCAGTCTGTGTATAAAATTAAATATAATTTATGCTTTGCTAATTGAAACCAAATACAAAATTCAATTTCCTGTGTATTCTAATGCTGACATTTGAATAGTTTTTTTTAAAAAAGAAGTGTTATTAACCTGACTCATTTGGCAGGCCACTCTCTTGGCCAGATAGAAAACAATCCCCCTGTCTAGCCTCAGCTGCAGTGGGGCATCCACAGGGYGCATTTCCAAACAGCAAAACAACAGCAGCCCCCACCCCATGCCAGTCCCCACAACCCCAGGGTCACAGGAATGTCCCTGCTCCCTTCCAGCACTGCAGCACTGTGGCACCACAGCTGCACCTGAGGAGGAGGATGCGGGGCTGGAAGGTGCTGTCCCACCATGCTGAAGTGGTTGGTGTCCATGGAGCAGGCACTCAGGACAGAGGAGCAGGGTCTTCTCTCCCAGTGGGCACCCATCAGCTCCTTGCTGAGCTGGAGATGGTATCAAAAATAAACCTCTGAATATATGGCAGAAATAGATTCTGAAGGGAAGTGAGTGTGAGGGGCAGGCAGGAGGGGCACAGCAGGCTCAGCATCTCCCCAACCCACCCAGGAACCATCATCCCCAGAGCTGAGCCGCTCCGGCAGGCAGCCAGGGCCACCGGTCCCAGCACCTCTGCTCAGTACCATCAGGGCCCCAACACCACACTGGGGTCAGAGCACACTGGAGACAGGCAGAGAACCCTGGATATCCCTCTGGTGAGGGGGACACTGGGCCTGGAGCCCCTTGTTCTCCACTGAGCATCTCGCACCAAATCCAAATGATGCAACAACAGGTTTCATGTAGGACCTGTTCTGATATTTTAATAGTGTGTGAAATACTCTAAAATTATTAATACTTATTATAATAATATACTTCAAAATTTCCTGTAATAATTTGGGGGTTTATGAAAACTGTGCTATGTCAGGAGCTGTTTTTAAATCTGATCAGGCTGATGGGAACTGACGTGCCATCAGCAGGGACCTCACAGCGTCCCTCCAGCATGGGCCATGTAGTAAATTGTCCAAATGGCTTCAGCTCTTCTCATCCAATCCAAGGCACCAGCATCATTTCACGGTGTAATGAACCACACGACAGGCCCTGGAACCCCGAGCAGGGTCAGCTTGTCAGCCAATGCAACGGTGATTTCATCTGCTTAGCTGGAGCTGCAGGGAGTTCTTCCACCTTAATCAGAACTGAGTCCTGGTCCTCCCACAGCAATCCCGTCCTGCAGCTCTGCCGGGGCCCTGCCCAATGGAAGAGGGCTCTCATGTGGCTACACCCCAAGCTGGAGGTAGTCTTAGCCCTCAAGAGAGCAAAGAGAGCTGTCAGCAGTATCTCAGTGCCTCAGGAATCACCATGCAAGGGACTGTTTCAGCAGCTCTGCATTTCACCTTTGCTCCCTCTCTGCATTGTTTCCCMCAGCAGTGGAGGTGGAGCTGTGCAGCTGTGTGAAAACAGTGCTCCTGTTCTATGCAGGGCCCAGTAAACAGCTCTCATGACACTGGAGGATGGAGTGGGGACATAGGTTTATTCTACAATTTCTACCAGGATTTGCAAATTTGGTTGACTTGGCCGTTTCCACCAGAAAGCACAGGTTTTGTGTGCTGAGCAGTGCTTGCTCTGGGAATAAACCACTSTCTTGTAATTTGAAGTAAGATGAAGGCTGGTCCCTGTTCTGTGACCCCAGCTGTCCACAGCAAGCAGCAGGGATTGTATTTTCAAGGTGCAAATGAATGGCAGTGCCAGGGGTCYTGACTGTCAGACCCCATGCCGGGGTTGTTCCCACGTTTCCACCCTGCAGCCRTCCCCTCGGTCCCCACCAGCTCCAAACCAGGGAGCAGGGCACAGCACAGCCTGGCCAGGAGGTGCTGCATGGACATCACACTGTGCCTTGGCAGCCTGGCTGGCCAGTGGGAGCCTGGCTCACTCCTGGGGAGSCTGGGAATGTTCTTTCAGCTTCCAGGAGGGTGGGGACGTGGGGGGACCCCAGTTCCGATCTCACTGAGCATCTCAGCAAAGAAGGAACAACTCTCTTCCAACAGTGGAGGTGTGCCCATCAGTTGGAGGAGAATTCAGGCCAGGTGTCTGTGGCACTTGGTAAATTCTAGTTTTAGTGCAACAAGTAATTGAAATGTCTGGTGCAAATGAAGTTCCTGTACATAGTTCCTTTGCAGCATAACTGGCTTTATTCCTTCCACACACAAAGACCAGCGTGCATGTGAGTGCACACGGCCTGAATTTACCAGACCTGATGCTGCTGTTTGGGCAAAACTAAAGTGCAGGGCAGGAGAAATCGAATCTATGAGTTTGTCCCAGTGCTGGGTTTTGGGAGCCAGCCGTGGCAGGAGGTCTGGTCCTGCCTGCCTGGCTTGCAAGAGGGACACCAGCAGTGAAACACAGACACAAAGCACCCYGTCACCCTGAGRAGCTCTGCTCCCTCTRCCTCCTCCTCCTCCTCCCACCCACCCCTGACCCCCAGCGTCATGGTGGGGAGAGCCCAAGTGCAGCCCAAGCTGACAGACCACTACAGTTCCAGGATGAACATGTGGGGCAACTTCTGCTGCAGCCCTGACAACACAGGAGCTTGTTATACACAGGACTGAGCCTCTGGCCCCAGGTGAGTTTTGGGTCTCAAATGATGATTCATATCCCAAAATCAAAAGAGACTTTTTCCTGATTTTGTGGTTCTACTTATCACTTTCTTCCTGCTCCCACTGGAAATCTTGGCCTGTCATTTGGTAAAACATGACATTGAAGGGTTTGTAAAATTTCCTCAGTCTGTGGATGACATCTGGGTCTATTTTGGGGTGAGTTCGACCCTTGGACTTGCCCAAACATCGGGGAGCACTGCTGTCCTCTGGCTTCTTTAGACAGGGAAACCCCTTGGTTTTATTAAAATAAAAATGCTTCTCTGTCACAATCCTCTTGAGGCCTAAGAAGTCCTGGACCTTGGCCATTTCCCCAGCTGGGTCAGTGATGAGCCTCTCACCACTGACAAACAGGATCTGGGAGAGGGGGAAGTACTGGAGCCAGTTTTCCAAGTGCAGGGCATAAATCCCGATGCGGATAGCACTCCAGGAGGCGTCAATCAGCCCCAGGGACCGGTTCTTGAAGGCCAGCACCTCGAAGGTGGGGATCTCTGGCTTCTTGGAGAGCGTCTGTGTGTAGTCTGAGATGGCCCTGGTGACSGGGTTGCGCACCACCACGATCAGCTTGGCGTCCTTGGCCATGGAGTGAATGCGCCGCGGGGCCTCGTTGGTCACAAAGTAGCTGGGGGTCTTCTCCATGGTGATCTGTCCTTCCAGGGTCTTGGGCATCACATCCCTGTGACAAACAGAGGAGGTGGTTAGTGAGGGGCAGGCAGGGGTGGGCACACTGTGCAGCTGTTGGTGGGACATGCAGGAGGAGGGATGCTCTCACTCCTGTGTGACCCCAGACCCAAATATTTCTGGCTTTGTTCCTCCTCGGTCCCTGGCCACGGTGGGCACCTAAAACGTAAACTCAGCCTCGGTGACATATTATGCAGATAATTTGCCATAGGCATATGTAGACCAAAGCTAATTGACACTAAACCTGCACAATACCTGCCTGCTCAGAAGCCATCTGCTCCCATTTGCTCAATTAAGCCTATTCACTCCAGAGCCATGTACGGAGCGGCGCAGTTCGGATTACACAGGACCTTTTTGTTAGGATGACATGCTTTTAAATGTCTCAGCTAATAAAACTTAATACAGAATAAGATCCCTTGCTTCTAGTACAATAATTAAATTTATTTACTATCTTGTGTGTGAGAAAGAATGACTTTTCTTTTATCTCTAATTCACATGCTCTGTCAATAATTAATTGCTGCTGGGTTTTGAGCTTCCTGTGCAAGCACTTTTATTAGCCAAAAGGAATTTGCCTACTGGATAAATTAGCATGTAGCAAGATTTTCCTGGATAGCATATTACCATATTGTAAAACGAAACTGCAGCGAGATAGYAGTTATGTCTAAGAAAATGAAGAGGTAAATGCTTGTCCCAGTGCCACCAGTTAAGGATTATCATAGCTAGCCAGCAGGTATTAAGTGATCGCAGAATCACGGAAGAAGCTGAGTTGGAAGGGACCCACAAGATRTCCCCTGCAAGAGCATTGCTGGAGCACAAGGCTTTGCTCACACCTTGTGTTGCTGGGGGCAGAGGGGCTGGGGGCTGTGCCCATGTCCATCTGTGCTGTGACCCTACCACAGGGCCAAGCAGGAGCAGCAGGGTCACAGCTCCTGGGAAGCACTCACGACACTGGGCAGATCTCCTGTGGCAGACACGGAGGATGGTGATGCCCACGGTATTGCRGGATTATCCCTTTGTACTGCAACTATCTTTAGCACAAACATATGGTGAGGAAATAACATGAACAGGCTGGAAATGGCTCTGTGAGAGCACCTTGGGCAGCAACAGCCACAGGGATGCTGAGTGAAACTGCTGAGCCCCAGGAAAGCCCATTTTGGGAATCACACAGCTGAAGCCTGGAGCAGAAGCAGCTGATAGGCACAGCCTGCTAGATGTGTCTGTCACTGTCACCTCACATTTGTGACTGCTGAAGGCATCAAGTGGCTTTAACGTGCCTGTAATTTGTGTATTCACTGCTGGTGCCATCTAGCCCACCAGGCTTGTTCTGCTGAAGTGCTGCTGGGGTTGATGAGGGGTCTCCTGCCAAGGCAAGAGTGAKGGTGGGTTTGGTGCTGCCAGAAGCTGGGCTGCCAGTGTCCTCAGCATTTTGGGTGAAGAGGCTGGCRGTTCCTGTGGCTGCCCCTCTCCTGCTGCAGAACCTTTGTTGTTGAACAGTCTCTGTCTGAGCACCAGCAAGGGGGCCTGCAGGGCCACAGGACTGCAGCTCCCTGTCTTAGGGCAGCATGCTGGCGGCCAGCCTCTATAGGAAGCACATCCTTCTGGTATCAGGTCCTGCTGGAGCTGCCTCCCCGATGGCAAGGCACCTGCAGTCCCATCTTCTGCTCATGGTGCTTCATCCATGCCTCACATCAGGCACTTGAGTAGCAGTGACACGAGCAAGGATTACTCCGGATGCATCTTGAGGTATTTTTTCCTTTAAGAAAAGCCTGAACAAATTAAGGGGAATGTGAGCACTTGGGGACTGCACATATTGCAGAATTACAGACCAGCTTCCCTGGGGAATCCAGCACCTGGATTTAACAGCCCTGTGGGAAGGAAGCAGCTTTTATGGCTAAGCACATCACAGCAAGCCCCACGGTATGATAAGGGATGAGCCCTTGGGTGCCCACTGCTGCACTACAAGGGCAGGTGGGGGGCACTGCCACCAGTAGCACTGCTCTGTGCCCCCTCTCACAGCCCAGGGCTATCAGCTGGCAGGGAGGATGGGGAGCAATCCACCTCCAGCAAAGAGCCATGACCAGGTCAATATCCCAGAGCAGCACCAGGACATTTGGTTTGGTTTGTATAAAACAAACACACTGGGGGTTTATAAGAGATGCATGAATAAACTGTTCGTTACAACTGCCCCTTCAGATGATGTTACCACAATAAACAGGAGCCAAGAAATTGCAGAGCTAATAACCTGGAAGTGTTGCCACATTTAAGGACTGTGTTTAACTCCGTGCACAATAAAGACAAATGGATAGATGGGCTGGCCCTGAGGAGAGAAAATGGGGAAGCAGCGATCAAGGAAAAGAGGAGGAGAAGCACATTCAGCTTTTACTGTACCGTTTAAGGATAAAGCTGGAAGGCACAGTGTATCCTCAAGACGCTCTGGACCTGAAGAGCCTGGAACAACTGTGCTCTGGGATGTACTCAGAAAGGCTTTACCCCAAATTCTACTGTTTCAGAGTCCCTTCCCATGTGCTGCCCTGCCGGGGCAGGTGCTGAGCCTACACTGTGCAGGTGAAGGAGGCTGGAGCCTGCAGCCCCAGGGTCAGTGCCCTGCGTGCAGCTGTGGCACACGATAACTGCAGCAAACAGAGAGTGGCACACAGTGCTGCTGGCTCCTGCTGCTGGGAATAACAAGGGTGTTAAAGCTGGAGCAAGCGAGCCTCTGGCACGGCAGGAATGCTCCTCAGAGCAGTTAACCTTCACAGAGCTGCTGCCATGTGCGCTGCCCTAATTGCGTGTGTGCCGGCAGAATGCTAACCAGCTCCGTGTGTGCCGGCAGAGCGCCGCTCTGCATTGCTCTCCTGTGGTGGCTGACGCAGAGCAGTTTGCAGCCTGGGGCCAGGGCTTTGCTCCTGGAGGGGCACATAGGCTTTGGAACACACTTCAGCCTTCCTTGCAGTGTTTGTGTTCCTTTGGAGGCCAGGCTGGCTGCTGAAGAGGCACAGCCACACTGTGACTGTGTCTGACATGCCTCCACAGGGCAGTGCAGGGGGTGAAGTGYTGCAATGGGACACATCTACTCATTGCTCTCCCCATCTGCACCTCTTTTCTCTCCATCACTGCCCACCTGAAAAAGGGGAGCAATCACAACAAGCCACTGGCAGGAGCTCCACTGACACAGGCATGAACAAACCCTGTGCTCCCTTACRGGATGGACATCATCCCCTTGCGCTTGTTGGTGCACCATCATTACACACTGCAATGCCAAAACTAAACTGCCATGCTTGACTTGGGCCCAGGAATGACCTCACCCTCCAAGGAGATGATCCAACATGTATTATTGAGTATTTGCCTGGGCTTTTGATATTTCTCTCCTTTGCTGTTCATTCCCCAGTGCTGTGCCCAGAGGATGAGGAGGGCCAGACTGCTCTGCACACCCTGGCACCCCTGAGCAGCACAGAGTCTTGCTGCTGTCATCCTTCAGGTTTGTGCCCCRYGCAYRGAAGGGCCCCAGCCACTGGGGCAGSAGGCAGCAGAGGCCAGCTCAAAGCCCTCATTGGGAAAATGTGCTGTAGTAATTGTTCTTAACTGCTGGCTTCAAACAAGCTCTTTATTTTCAAAGGATACATTTTATAAATTTGCGAATTTGCATGTTGCCAAAATCCCCTTGTGGTTTATTTAAATCCAGATTATCTTGTTTATTCCTTCAGTCACAGCTGTCATTTATCTCTGTGTAGGCAGCTTGTTCACGATGTTTCAGGTTTCCTGCAATCCCAYTCAAAAGGAGTCTTTGTTAACTGTATTTTCATGTTCTCAACAAGAGAAAAAAGTTCATAGCAACTCTCAGGGCTTGGGGAATCGCAGAGGAGGACACGGATTTGCACGGCTGCCATGGAAAGAGGAAATGGCCAGGTGCTGCAAGTGTCATCTGCCCRCAGAGCTCCTCTGTGCTGCTCCGTGGGGTGGAGCAAACAGCCGCTTTTGTCTTCTGAAAAGACAAACATGAATCCTTTTCCTTTTTATTATTAACACATTCCAGTATAATTGCTTGAGCTGTCAGCTGTGACCTGCCAGTAATTCAGCAGGCGTGGGACTTTCAAGGGGAGAGTGGCATTGCAACTGAGCCYGCAGTAAGCATTAAGAGCAGAACCCATTTGCTATAAGCCCCCGAGTCAAATCTCTTGTTGAATTTGTTCAAACATAAATTTACAGCTAAATTTACATAGGTTTAATGTTTTATAATCTTTTCGGTCTGTGAATCTATATTCAAGAGTGAGTGCATTAGCTCAGAAATATTGTGCTTAACGCTGAAAATAATTTTAATCTCTCCAAAGTCCAATCCTTTGCACATCACTAAACCTCAGAAGCCAATCCCTTCTAATAAGAGACACAAAACTTGCATCTGTCGCTGCCTAATAGATTCACATTGCTCTAATTCAAAYGGCTCACATATGTCTGTTGAAAAACACTAAAGGCAAATTGTAAAGCCCTTTCAGAAAAGAGGGTGCCAGTTCAGACTGGGGGCCAAAGGAACACAAACCATCCCCAGGAGACTCACTGGAAGAGTTTAATGGTTAGGAATTGGTGCCTGGGAGAAGGGGGTGAACCACCATTTCCAGTGACTTCTCTGCAGCTTCTGCAGGACTTACAACCCCAAATCAGTGGCTGCCTGTACTGCTGGTTTCCCTCTCCAAGAGAGCAGCTTTTCCCCCCTCCCAGACTTTCCAAAGCCATTCATTGTCCATGCAGAACACTCTTGTGAGGGGCAGGTTGGGATTGCAAGGACACCTCCTTGCTCCGTGCCAGCCACGTCCCTGCTTAATCCCAAATGTTCCCCAGGCTGTGCAGGATGTGGGAGCGCACTAGAGCTGGAATGGGGGCAGTCCCGGATCCCAGTGCAGCCTGGAAATAAGCAGCTGGGGTTTGGGAGTGCCTCAGGGCCGCTCAGCAGGGCCAGCCACGCTATCATTGCTGCCAGGGCCGCCTGGAGCTGTCCTTCCG